TATCAGCAGTTGTTCATTTACTTCAGTCCACGATTTAATATTGTTTTTAAGTTTTTTCGAATGGCAATAGAAGACTCCTCTCTTAGCTCTGTTATCTTTACTAACCCCACTGTATATATGTATATATTCTCCTCTCTTCATTTCCTTTTCCTTTTTTCTTGGTCTCGGTAAGAATACATATATCTATTTTTCTTTCCGCTAATTCTTTAAATACTTCTGCTTGTTTGGATCTAAGTCCTTGTACATTCCATGTAGCCAATATCATTTTCCTTTTCCGTTGCATTAGTTGTCTTTGTTTTGATCCATCCCTTTTATTCCGAGGCTTTTGGTCGAAATTTTTAGCATTTATTTGTTTTGACAAGGGATGAGTTGCTAGCCCATCGCCTCAACCCTCCTCCTTTATCCGGGCTTGGGACCGGCATCGGCATTTACTGAGCTACTCAATCCACCCTGCAATTACCGGAGGCGGAGTTGCATAAATAATAATAAAAAATAGACTTTTTTATGATAGATGAAACAACACGCAAAGTTTAAGCAAAAATTAAAGGTTTTTAAGGTAAAGTTCAAGAGCAACTACTGACTTGCGTTAACCAATACAAATAGCGGGAGATAAGCATTCCGATTGTCAACAATTTGATGCATCACCTCACAACTAGTCTAACATTAAATAATTTGCCTTTAAAACAGTCAAAATAAATAAACTTTCTAGGTCTCACTTTTGAGATAACTTTAAATTGGAATTCGCACATAAATAAACTCCAGCTTTCCTGCCAAAATAAATTAAATATACTCAACATATTATACAAAAATATTTGGGGTGCTTATTATAAAATATAAATTAGGCTTTACAAATCGCTTATTAGAACTAAAATCGATTATGGTTGTATTTGTTACGATGTTGCATGTAAAACCACTTTAAAAAACTAAACAGTATTCAATCTACAGCTTTGAGATTAGCACTGGGCGCTTTTAAGACTAGCTTTTAAGGAGAACCTCCCTTACATATCGACGACAGCAACTATTCTTGAACTACATTGCAAATATATCATCCCAGCATCCTGTATTCTTCCACATCTTTAACCCTAGTCTTTCTCCTAACAATAGAAGGAATCAACTTTCTAAGCTCAGAACATTCGATAGGAATCAACTTAATGTATCGCTACATATAAATGCAACCTATCCTCCACGGACAAGCCATTTATTAACTATTGACTTAACACTTACAAAGTATCCCAAATCAACTACAAATTCCACAATGATTAAATCTCTATTCATGAAAATTTTAGACCACTATCCTAATTGCTGCTTACTACTGTAAAGAAAATTCTTATAGCATATCGATACGAACAAACTGCATTATACTAACAGGCGAGGATACAGCTATTTTGGAGGCCCTAAGCTTCTTCGAAAAGAGTAGAACGACGAAGTGCATTATAAATATATACCAAGAACCCTATTATATAGAATATAAAAAACGAACTAGAAACATTCCTATCATTGAGAAGGAAAGCGGCTTTCATTTGGGTACCTTCACATACAGGTATTTATGGAAATGAAAAAGCAGATCAAGATTCAAGGGGAGCCACCAACAATTAACATCGAAGAAACTAAAAAAGCTGTATCATTGTTGAAAAATGAACGTGCTCTGGGTCCAGAGGGAAAATATGCAGAGTTAATAAAAAATGGAACCAACAAACTATTCGAGATACTAACAGAAGTTTTCAATGGGCACTTGCACGAAGAACCAGTGCCACAGAGTTGGAAAGAAGGATGGATACGTCTATCCATAAAAAAGAAAATAAGGAAGATTTCAATAACTATCGGGGTATAACAGTTACGAGCACGCTTAGCAGATTATATGGGAGAATTATAAATGAACGCATATGCGAAGAATACCGTCCTTTTAAATCAAAAGAACAAAACGGATTCAGAGCAGGACGGTCCACAATAGATAGTATTTTCTGCTTATCCCAAATACTCGAGAAAAGAACACTGAGATCTCGAGCAGTGCATTTACTTTTAGTAGATTTCTTTTTCTTATGGTGCCTATCCGTTACGGATGTTGGACACTAACATGGCTATTCTGACTTTGTTGACTGCTGCCCTGAAAAGTCTGGTAGTGGTTAAGTTAAACCACTTTCGCAGGTTATGCAGCCAGAATATTCTTCTCCGTCCTGGACCTCTTTTCCCATGCACTTTACCTTGAAGTATGGTCCGAAGTAGGTCATGTCGTTGTTCATTGCACATTATATGGCCGAGGTATTCTAGTTTGCGACGTTTTATGGTTACGACTAGTTCGCGCTCTTTACCCATTCTATGTAGTACTTCTTCGTTGGTAATTCTGTCTATCCAGGAAATCCTCAACATGCGTCTATAGCACCATATCTCAAATGCTTCGAGTCTCTTTAGTGATGCTTCTGTTAAGGTCCATGACTCTACGTCATATAAAAGAACGGAAAATACGTAGCATTTTAGTAAACGAACTTTTATTTACAATTTTATGTCGTTAGTAGATTTAACAAAAGCATATGGCACCGTGCCTGTTGCGAAATTGTGGGAAGTATTGGAGAAAATCAGTATCAGCGTTCCACTAATCGACGCTATTAAAGATCTATATAACAACACAATATCAAAAGCTAAAATAGGAAGGTTTCTAATGGTTTTCAGGTAACAAAAAGACTGAAGCAAGGTTGTTGTTTATTTCCCATCTTCTTCTTCTTCTTTTGCCCTTTAATTCGTCCAATTTTGAACATAGGCTTCCCCCAGTTTCCTCCATTCGCTTCTGTTTTGTGCTTTCTGTTTCCAGTGTATTCCTCCTATCTTTCTAATGTCATCTCCCCATCTCATCTGGGGTCGTCCTCTTGCTCTCTTTCCTGTCCATGGTCTCCATTGTTGTATTGTGTTGTTCCACTATTGTCTGTTTGTCTGGCGTTATGACCTGCGAAAACTCCATTTTAGCCTGGCTATATGTTGACCTGGCGTCTTTGACTTTTGTTTTGTTTCTTATCCAGATGTTTTGCTTCTTGTCTTTTAATTTTTACTCCCAACATTGCTCTCTCCATGGCTCTTTGTGTCTTCACTATCTTATCCATGTTTGCTTTGGTCAGAGTCCATGTTTGGCATGCGTATGTGAGAATTGGGAGTATGCACTGGTCAAACACTCTTGTTTTTAAGTACTGTTGTATTTTCTTATTCTTTAGGACCCATTTTAATTTCCCAAATCCTGCCCGGCTAATCTGACTCTTCTTTTTACCTCCGCTGTTTGGTTTTCCTTATTTATTTTTATTATCTGTCCCAAATATATATAATCATTAACCGCTTCTATTGTGATTCCATTTAGTATTACGTTTCTATTATCTTGTGTGTTTGTCATTGTTTTCGTTTTGGTAAAATTCATTTTTAGGCCTATTTGTTCAGATTCCTTGGCTAGTTCGGTTAGCATAGTTTGTAGTTCTTCAAAACTTGATGTTATTTATTACTACATCGTCTGCATATCTTAGATGGTTTAGTTTCTTTCCATTTATGTTTATTCCCATGTTTGTCCATTCCATTGTTTTGAAAACATCTTCCAGTGCTAATGTAAATAATTTAGGAGAAATAACATCGCCCTGTCGCACTCCTCTGTTAATTGGTATAGGTTTTGTGTTTTCTTCCAATTGTACTGTCATTGTTGCTTTCTTATATATATTGTGTATTAGCATTCTGTATCTGGAATCTATTCTACAGTTGTTTATAGCTCTTTCTATTGCCCACATTTCCACACTATCAAAAGCTTTCTCATAGTCAACGAATGCTAAATGCAGATCTAAATGATATTCGTTAGCTTTCTCTATCAGTGTCCTAATTGTTAAAAGATGGTCAAGTGGTGCTATATCCTTTTCTGATCCTGCCTGCTCTACTGGTTGATATGAGTCAAGTTTTGTGTGCTAGCCTGTTGTTGATAATCCTCATGAATAATTTATACGTTTGCGACAGCAGTGAGATGGGTCTGTAATTTTTTATGTCCTTTTTGTCTCCTTTTTTAAATAGCAGGATTATTCCCATACTATTCAATATATATATATTATAATATATATATATTATATATTATATATATATATATATATATATATATTATATATATATATAATATATATAAAACTGTTTTTGATGGGTTGGAGTCAATAAAAGTCAATAAAAAGCTATTTGTTGACTATTTTTTACTCGAGCTTTCAATTGTGATTACAATTTTTATCAAGAGCTTCTAAAAAATACAAAATATCTTACAAAGTTGAACTAGAAATAAAAAATTTTTTGTTAACTCACCAAATAAAATTAGTTTTTTATATAAAAACTACTGCTTACATATTAAATACAAAAAAATATTAATAAAAAAATGTCTTATTCTTTCTAATAAATGTTTCTCTGAAAAATTTTGATGAAGTTTCTTAAGAATAAAATTGAATTTGTAAACAAAAATAGAATAGCTACAAACCGGCCTAAATGTCATAAATACTAACTTAAAAATTTTTATTTTTGACATATTGTCAAAAATAAAATTTTGTTTAAAAAATTCTTCTTTGTTTTTTACGAAACGTTAAATTTAAAGACGGCTTTTATTGCGAAACGTTAAATGCTGCGGAGATGGTTATTTTTCAGACTAAAGATAAATGATATCGTTGTACCAGATGGCGCAAAAACTCATATTTAACAAAAAATGAAGTTACTCACTATGCGAATTACACTAACCATATATCTTGTTTTTGTTTTTGGATTTTTGTATCCGTGCTAATGGCAGTGTTCTTACATTCAAAACTTAAGGATGGTGTAACTCACTATTTGATAAAATATAGTATATGAAGAAGTAATTGTATATTATTATATAAACGCACCATTTAAGTAAAGAAAATATAAAATTTTTTGTTTAAACTAATGCATGAATTTATTAATAGATGCGTAGTTTTTTTATATTGACAATATCTATTTATAAATGCATTTTCTAATATCAAGTTTTATTTCAGATAAGAATCCACAAGTTGCCAAGACACGTTTTTAAGACTATGTCTTGGTTGCAGTATCCCGAGAAACTTTTTTCATCAACTGAAAAAATTAAAAAGGGAATAAGTCTACCTACAGATAACAATTCCATTGTGAAAAAAGACAATGCTACAGAAACTAAAAGTAATGATCCTAACTGTAGTAAATTGATTATTCACGGAGAAACTTCTAAACAACAACAGTCCAATGCCTCTGGAAATATACAAATGTCCGAAACGTTGGCAAATGTATCAACAAGCGAGGATAAAAACAATACTGGAACAGATCACGATACTACTTTGCAAAAAATAAAACCTGACAAGGCAAAAAACGGTTGACACAAACAACAGTGGAACCATAATTAATGGTAGCGTTCTTTCCGTAAAAGATACCACAAATCAGTTAGAATCAAAAGAACATACTTCATCTGATATTAAACCCAAAAATGCTAAGAAACAAAAAAAGCGTAAAACCAACAGTCAACCAATGAGTAATAGCTCTTGCATAAAGGATCCAACAAATTCGTTGGAATCAAAAGAAAACACTTCATCTGGTGGTAAGACTAAGGAGCTAAATTTGCCTACGGATAACAGTACTACATCGAAAAAGAAAAACCCGACAAGAAAGAAAACGGGGAGAAAAACAACAGTGGAACCATAGTTATTGGTAGCGTTCTTTCCGTAAAAGATTCAACGAATCAGTTGGAATCAAAAGAAAATACTTCATCTGATACTAAACCTAAAGATGTAAATTTGCATACAGATAAAAACACGATTCTAAAAGAAGGAAAAGCTAATAAGAAAGATAAAAAAGGTAAAAACAACACTCAAACAATAAATAATACCGTTTCTTGCATAAAAGATCCAACAAATCCGTTGGAATCAAAAGCAAACACTTCATCTGATAGTAAATCTAAGGAGGTAAAGTTATCCACGAAAAACAATGCAAAAACAGAAAAGAAAGAAAACGAGGAGGAAAACAACATTCAACCGATTAACGAAGATGCATCTTGCAGTAATATTAAAACGAAATCGAAGAAAAAGAAGAAAAAGAAGAACAACAGTTCTCATGAAGCGGCTAAAAATAACTTTTTGCATTTGGATATTGTAAAACAAGTAATTACGAACGCAAAATCCAACAAGGAATTCAAAAGTCTGTTGCACATTGTTTTAAATATAATGTCCAACGAAAATATGGAAAATCGGTAAGAATTACATTTTTTTTTCTAAATTTATTTAAAAAATACCTAATTTGAAGTTATATTTTATATATTATAAGTTAATGTCTATAAGGCTATGTTTCATGTAATAAGACAACTATTCAGAGACGACAATGCGAAAAGAGTCTATACCTACAACTTAGAAAAATATGTTTCAAATAAAAAATGTAGCCGAGATAATATTAAACGAAAATTATAGCGTTATGCATTTTTTCTGTGGAATGAACCGTTCTCTTACAAACAACGCTTGAAGCCACCGTCGATTTTGCATGTCAGTTAAGCGCACGAAATCAATGTTCAATACAATTTGTATTAGCTCGACGGTAAAAATTCGATATCTTTTGATTCAAGTGACCTATCGACAAAAATCTTGCTCAGATTTTATACAGGTGTTAAATAAATAAACGTGGCGCGATTTTTGCCATTTTTTATGATTCTTACTAATCTTTAAAACCTATGGCATGCCATTTTAGTTTTAAGTTTTGGCAACAAATTTGAGGCATTTGAAATATGCTTAACACATTGAGTGCCACCATGGTAACACAAAAATAGGGTTCCACAGGCCGAAGTTGTCAAAATGAAGAAAACAAATATAATAATATACGTTTATTCAAATCAATAAGTATTACATTCATTTACAATTTCAATTTCAGTTTACTTACAGTAACATAAACGTAAAAAAAGTCTTTAAAGCATTTAACATGCTTGTTGACTTAATCTGTCTAATATTAACAGGTTTAATGTTTTTTTTACAAATTATTATTTTATTTTTACAGTTTCTAATCTAATCTAATTTGTTTCGTTTTTTTTATCTAGTATAATTTAAATTTATTAAATTGTTACACAACTCCCTTTTTTCTTTTACCCAAGCATTAACTAATTTTTTATACAAAAAAAATTTTTGATATTTTTAAAATTTTATGGGCAATTGATTGTATATTCTTGGGGAAAATATTTAATTGACCGTTGCGTGATTGTTTTTGAAGTGTGAAGACATTCAACATTCAATTTTCTTCTTGTTTAATAATTTGACACTTTTACTTTAAGAGGTATTTTATCTTTATGAATATTTTTAAGTAGCTCTAAGCAGTACAATTGCCGAACATCAACAACCTGAGTTTCATGAAAAAGTTGGTCTGAGGGATATGTTGTTCGTTTTCCATATATTAGTTTAAGAAACCAGTTCTGAGTATTTTGAAGGGTCACCAGATGGCAATCAGCTACGCCACCCCATCCTAAAATCCCATATACAAGATGATATTGTACTAAAGACAGGTAAAGCATTTTAAGCTGCTCAACATCTAAAAACTCTTTTAAATAGCGGAATTTTGGTAACAGTCGTCGTATTTTTTTATAATATTTTTTATTTGTAAGTCCCATTTAATGTGCCTGTCAATTAAAACTTCTAAATATTTTATGTATTCTGCTTTAAATATTTGTTGTTTTTTATTTATTTTTAATAAGTTAAAAGTTGGCAGAGAATTTTATTTGCATCCATGTTTTTATAACTTTGAAGTCTTGTTCAACTATAGTTTTAAGATCTTCCCAATTTTCGGCCTTATAAAAAATTGCGGGTGTCATCAGCAAAGCTTATTATGTTTCCATCAGTTGTTAGTTTAAGCATGTCATTAACATAGAGTGTAAAGAGTAGAGAGCCTAAAAACGGTCCCTTGCGGTACGCCATAATTAATTACTTCAGGATCATTTTCGACACCATCAATTTCTACAAATTGTTTTCTGTCTGTTAAGTAACATTTTAGTAATGTCAAAACACGTCCTCTCAGACCATACTTCTCAAGTTTCTCTAACAAGATCCCGTGAGATATCGTGTCAAACGCCTTAGAGAGATCGACAAATATGCATAAACTACGTTTATTAGACTCAAAAGCTTCTGATATTTGTGATGTTAGTTTACAAATAGCATCTTGTGTAGATTTTTCTTTCTCTAAAACCGTATTGACAATCCGATATTATACTAAACCTATCCAAAAAACTCACCAATCTATTTTTTAAAATTTTTTCAAATATTTTGGAAAAAACAGACAACAAAGATACTGGTCTGTAATTAATCACGTCTTCTTTATTTCCTTTTTAAACAGAGGTTTGATTTTGCCTATTTTTAGACATTCTGGAAAACAACCATCCTGAAAACATGCATTAATGAGAAAAGTTAAAGGAGTAATAATTTCTTCCTTAATTTGTTTGATGGTTTCTGTCTTGATCCCATCCCAGCCAGGAGATTTTTTGTGTTTTAAAGATTGTATTACATTTACCACTTCTTTTTGGTCAACGAGATACAAGTACGTGCTGCTTTCTATCCTATCTATGTCCTCAATCTGTTCATTACAACTGGGTATTTTTTGTGCATACCTTTGTCCCAATGTACTGTATATTAATGTGTATTAAATTCATTTGCAATTTCTTTTCTGTCAATTATTTTTTCTCCTGTTTTGGTTTTAATCGAATCAATTTTTGTATTTCCTTTTATTTTTTCACACAATGAATTAATTACATTCCAAAGTGATGAAGAAGAGGTCTTATTTTTTTCAATTCGTTGTTTTGTATAATTTCTTTTTGCAGTTTTAACTAAGTGTCTTAATTTATTTTTATAGTCTGTATATCGTTGTTTTTTTAAGTTATCTGAGGGATCTTGGATTAGCTGATCATACAATCTGTGTTTTTCCTGTACAGACTTTAAAAGTTCCCCTGTCATCCAATCTTTTTTAAAAGTGGTTTTTAGATCATTTCCTTTTAAAATAATTGTATTTTTGTTTATTAAATTTAAAATTTTGTCAATGAAAAGTTTTACCGCTTGATTTTTATTTGTTTTATTGTAAATATCCAACCACTTTTCCTGCTTCAAATTGTTTTTTAGATTTTTGTAGTTGATGTACTTTTTTATTATTATTTTGTTTTCTTTGGTTTTGTTTAGATTAGAAATGGAAAACTGCGATTGGATAATGATCTGAATTAGTATGATTTTCAAATATAAATGAAGTTATGTTAGTGTAATCAGCAGGTCTTTTTATAAAGAAATGGTCTATACAAGTTTGAGTTCTAGGTCTAGTTGTTTTATTTATATAAGACAAAAAATTTTGTGAAGCTAGAATATTCTGGTATTCTTCAGTGTGATCTAGATCCTCAAAAAAATTAATATTAATATCACCAACTAATATATGAAAACACATTCGTTTTTTACTTATGAGGTATTGATGCAAATCCTGATTAAAATTGTTTATGTTTACTATCAGTGATTTATAGATAGCACTCAAACAGATTTTTGTTGTATTATAATTTAAAATGACTTCAAATCACTTGATGTTCCCTAATGGTACAACTGAATATTCATAGTTTATAGAAGATTTAATGTAAATAATAACTTTATCATTTTTGTTTTAAATCGCCATAATTGTATAATAAATGGTAATTTTTAACAAAAATGGGGTTTTATCAATATCATCTTGAATGTGTGTCTCCGTGAGAACTAAAATATCAAAGTTGACATTTAGAGTTGACAAAAACGAACAAAAATTATCAAAATTCTTACCTATACTGCTAACATTACAATGAATTATTTTTAAGTCATTTTTTATTGTCACTGAGTAATCCTTATTAAAACTATCACTACTTACACATTTTGTGTCCACTTTTTCTTCTTCGTAGTCTCCAACATAGATATCCATTTTTTTTAACTAGCACACACAAATTTTTACCGCACGATTAACATTACACTTAAATTAATGTTGTTCGTTTGACCTGGTTTTCCTTTTTTTCTTGTCTTCAGACGAAGGATTATGTAGTGGATGACTTTTGTGGCTTGGTTGATTTTCCAGTAACAGCAGACATAGATGGATGTTTTTTTGACGTTGGCTTCGTTTCGTTAGTCTTGGGTATTTTTCGGTTTATTTTATCCTCTTCTTCCGAAAAAGTTGGGTTTTCTTCAAGTTCTTTGGGCGTATAACTTTGATGGTGTATAAACAGTTTTTTGCCCCGTATATAGCTGTTTTTTTCTGGTTGTTCTTCTCTTACAATTTTTAAGTGTTTTTTTTAAGATCTTAAGATCTTCCTGCTGACTTTTTGTTAAATCAGGTGATATAAATATACCAGTGCCCTTTAAATTTTTTCCATTCTTCAGAATTTCAGTTTTTTTAAAATGTCGAGTTAATTCAATTTTTAATTGGGCATTTATCCGTACTGCCCATGCAGTATACGTCACTTATATCTTTTTCTGAAATGTCTATTTTTAGCGCGTTGCTTAGATCACTACACAGCTTCGGGATTTCCGAAATTGTAGATTTTTCTAATCCAAATACTACTAGATTATTTTTCTTGCAAGTTATTTGCATACTTTCTAGGGCTTTTCGCAGAGATAAATTTTCATTCTCCAGCCGTTTAATTTTATCGTTTAGACTTTCTAAGATTTTGTTTTGACTTTCTTCTATGGTGCTTTTTAATTCTTTTTTGATAATATCTAATTCTTTTAGTATTTTGTTTGTGTCGGTTTCATACATTTTTGTGTATGGTACTCTTTATATATTTCGTGAATACAGCAGATTATAAAACATAGTCTTAGTATGGCAGTTTAAGAAAAACTTGTAAAAACATGATTTGGTTGTTACATGATGTCATTTTTGGTATGTAGCTGCATTGGATACACGTGGCCATAATAAGCCTATTTTATTATTGTGGTCGTGTGTATTCAACGCGGATCCATCCCTGGCAATACTTTAAGCAAACTGCAGATCATGTGTTTCATTCATCATTTGTTTCAGGCTGGAACTAGTCAAAAAAATTTTGGCAGTAGGTTGTACGTTATCGTTACTTGCGGTGTGTTGTTTTCGTGAAAAGTATAGTTTGCTTAATAAGTTACTACCTTTGCGATAAAAAATAAGGTACGAGAAAAAACATGAAAAATTACAAAAACCGATGCAAGAAATGTCTGACGACGAAAATTCGCTTTTTGGAGGTGTATACTTATCGGACCACTATTCCATGGAAGGTTCCAAAAACAGTCACAGTGACTCTTCTTTTGAAAATGTGAAAAAACCCAAACGCAAGAGAGTTAGATCTGGCATGATATCAGCTGAAGGTAAGTGTGAATGCTTTACTGATTTTAGTTACAAACGCGACCAACATTCCTTATGTTGCGAATTTTGGTAGTGGCTACTACACATTTTCAAAATATTATTTTAAAACTAACATATGATTTACTTATTCTCATGACAAATGATTGTTACAGATATTTCTCTGCCAACTACGAGTAGAGCATCGACTACGAAAGAAGATTATGCTAATACGTTAGGCAATAACTGTGCCAGTACCAGTACCATCTTACAAAAAATAGAGGATGTTATTTCACAGTTTGAACTGGATACATCTTCATCTTCAAGTGAAGTGGATATTTCAAATTTAGTGATCAGTTGACATGGAAATCCGTCCAAGGTAAATATCTAAAAACGGTTATATTTTCTGAAGCAAATGCTGGCGTAAAAGCGGAAGTATACGAACAATTTTGTAATAAATCACCATATCACTTTTATAAACTCATCGTATCCGATGACATCATAAACCATATTGTGATTAAAACAAATCGTTATACTGAGCAAAGCAAGCAAAACAATATTTTACGAAGATCAAAAATAAACAAATGGGTAAATACTAATCCGAAAGAAATTGAGAGATTTTTAGGAACTATAAGGAATGAACTTGTTCAATTGTCAAATATTCCAGCGTATTGGCAGAAATCATTTTTATACCACAATAGAATAAAATCGATGATGAGCAGAAATAGATTTCAGCTCTTGCTTCAAATGGTTCATTTCAATAATAACAAAGCCGTCGCAGTACATCGTCTTCATAAGATAAAACCGCTTATCGATAAACATCACAAGTTCAGTATCAAGCTTTTCAAATTATATGTCGATAAAAGATACACATATAATCTTAGCGTATATCGTGGTACTGAAAAAATTGAAAGTCAATCGGTGGCAAGTGGAGTAGTAATTATACTCCTAAAAAATCTGCTTGACCAGGGGAGAACACTCCATACTGACAATTACGATACGAGTGTTGCACTAGATCATACACTCATAGACCAGAAGACACGCTTAGTAGGAATACCGCATACAAATAGAAAGCTCAACCGAGACCAACTGCTTGTCGCAGCCGAGAGTAATACAGGTGTTGTTCTGAAAGGGAAAGATAAAAGAGACGTTCTAGTTCTTAGTACTAAACACAATGATCAACTTGTAACAGTGAAACAAAGGAGGTTAAGTACAAAAGCACACAATAATTGTCGATTATAACAAATCTAAACCTTTTTCTGATCTTTCTGATTAAATGAAAGCCTATTCATCATCCCTCAGGAAAGGCCTAAAATGGTACCGTAAATTGGCAATTAAGCTCCTTATGGGAACGGCACTGGTAAAAGCATACATATTACATCAAGAGGTTGAAAAATAAGAAAATGTATCACAACATTCAAAGAAAATCTTATAATGGAATTATTACATTTTCGGATAGACACACATGAGCCTACAGAACCACAGGTATCCAACACTATTTAGAAGAAAATCAAGGTGCTGGTAGAAAAAAGGCCCATGTGCAAACTGTTATAAGAAAATATCGCAAGAGACGGATACAAAAGCTGCAAAATCTCAAGCAACCCAAAGTAAATTTAGATGTGTACCCGTGCGAAAAATATTATTGTTTAGTGTGTTTTTTCGAGACCCACAAATGCTTTATACTGCATTTGTGGGTACCAATGCAAACTGATATTTTTTATAAAAGATTGTTTATTTATGTAGAGGCTTAAACACTTCGTTTTTGTATGTTTTATAAAAAAAGAATATTAGTTATTAGTTTAGTATTTTGGAAGCCATAAACGTTTTGTAGTTATTTTTTATGTATCGTATCATTTCTTTCATTTTATCGAAAAATACTATCTTTTAATTTGTTTTTTTAACCCACAAATGTTTTATTATATATTTTTTTTTATGTATAAAATAAATAAATTGTTTCATTTTGCTTTATTTTGTTTAAAAATATGTCTGGACAAAAATCATCGCAGTACCTGCAGGCCAACCACAGTTTTGGATTTCGTAGGCCACTACTTACAAGCACCCATAAAGATATTTGGACGGTGTGTATCTGATGTAGATGTACATAGCTCAAAATACAAAAATACATGTGCATCCACATTGGATACACGCGGCCACTAAATCAGTGTGACGCGTATATCCATTCTGGACACATGTGGCACTGAACGTGTTAAGAGCGTAGGCGCAAAATTTCAGGCCAATGCTTTTTAAATGCATTCTCATTTTTTTCGAATCCTGAGAAAACTAATAAATATTTTTGAAAAATTTAAACGCAGAATGAAAGAATACATTATTAAAAGGGGCCAAAAGTCTCTGAAAATATCTATGTTTATTTTAATAAGTTACAGGGATGAAAAAAAAAAAGAAAAAATTTAGTGTGACTTTTAATTTTAAATATCTCATTCAAAAAACTTTCTGTTTATTCTAAGATATAATAATGTAATCTTTCATTCTGCGTTTAAATTTTTCAAAAATATTTGTTAGTTTTCTCAGGATTCTAAAAAATGAATGCTTTTAAAAAGCATTGGCCCGAAATAATTTTGCGCCTAAAGAACGCTGGATTTAAATTTTCCCACAACAAACAATCTAAAACATTTAAATTGTTTTTTTTTTCAATTATATTAGTACGTTTTTCAAAAGAACAAAACTTCTGCAATAAACTAGACCCGTATTCCTAAATGCATTTCTCGTGACGTGTGATCGTTTGTAATGTAAAACATTAAATTCTGCATTTTTTATTCATATTTCAAAATTCCTCCCAACTCAAAATTGAATTTTCTTGTCATATTATAGTATGAATTCACTTCATAAACTACAGCAATGTGTTTATGCGTAATATTAACCACAAAAACAAAATAAAAAGGACGTACAAAACAGTCGAGGGGTTTTAATACATACAGGAAGGGAACAAAAAACAATATTATGCATTACAATCGAGGGATTCCCCGTAAAACCTAAACGACAAGGCTTAGTGTGATTTTAATTTCATAGTTTTCCTATCTAAGTAAAAAACAATGCTAAAATACGTATTACGTATCGAGTTGTGTGAATTCCTCTCCCGCCTCTGTAATCCACCTAATCTATATTACTGATAAATTATTTTCGCACCATCACAATCAATGTTAATAGTGTTTTATTTTAAAATAATCGAGCGATTGTATTTAATACTCTAGCCTTTGTAATTTTTAAGGAATATATTTATTTAGATAAAACAAATTTTTTTTAATGTAAGTAGTTTTATAATAGGAACTCGAATATTATTTTATTTATTTTTTAGCAAAACCAAGACTGATTTGTTTGAGTTCTTTCTCGATAATTATCAATATGCTAATCCAAATTATTTGAAGAAAGTTAAAACAACTCTGACATGTAAGTACTTTTAATAAAATGCTATGTAATTTAAGGTTAAGTTTAGATTAATTTCCAGTCAAGGGTACATGGAGCTTCATCATTATCATAATTAACCCAACTTTCTGAAGTATTCTTCGTTATTCAGTCCTCTTTATTGACAGTTTAGCAGATCTAGTTAGAAAGAAGATCTAGAATGAACGCTGTTTACAAATCAGTTCGAAACGAAAAAAAAAAAAAAGAAAAATAAGAGAGTGATATATCTGGCTCAAGTTATCGATGTCGGTTCTTTTAATTAGGAAAGCTGGATGTTTTAGAAATTGGCACATTTCAAGGATGAATCACTTATGATAATTTTGTTGTTTGTACAATATTTTGGTATCCGTGAAATCGATGCTGTGTTTAGTTGAAATTACATGTTGTGCAAGGGCACAAGATGGTTTAGAAATACTAATGTCGCTTTTGTGGGACGTTAGTCGACCTTGAAGAGCGTGGCTGGTCTGGCCAATCTAGTAGAGCTGCACTCGGCACATGGTGTAACTCTTCCTGGGGGGTTATGAGCGCGATAACTGGGTGGATTGAGTAACTCAGAAGTCGCGTTCATGCCCACATCCGGTCCCAAGCCGGGATAACAGAGGAGGGTTGATGGGCCAGGTTAGCATCCTACCCATTGTAAAAGGAATCAAGGCTCAAGGAACCGATATAAAGCCTCGGAACCAGACGGAACCTAAGATGACAAACCACGCAAAGAAAAGGAAAACGAGAAGGAAAAATAAGCCCTCAATCAAATTAGCTACTAGGAACATTACTTCTTTCAACAACAAAGATCAAGAGATAATAGAATAACTGATAAATAAAAATATAGACATTTGTGCAATCCAAGAAACCAAGAAGAAAGATAAAGGTCAAAGAGAGTATAACCAGTATTTCCTAGCATACAGTGGAGTGTAAAAAGAAGAACGAGACGAGCAGGCGTAGGTATACTTGTCCATAAAAAGTTCAAAGACAACATAAATAACTGCCGTTATATCTCCGAAAGAATAATATATAAACATCACAATGGACTACCAAAAACGAGAATGTCATATCTATCTATAGCCCCGAGGTCTGCAACCTAAGGAGGAACGAGAGGCATTCTACGAACAATTTCAAACCATCCTGGAATACCTCATGAAGAGCCCTTAATTCTTCTGGATGACTTTAATGCACGAATCGGAAATGGAATAGTTCCAGGAGTAAAGAGAACTCATGGCTAATCTCTTTGCTTTTAACTAACTCAGAATCAATAATACATTTTTCGACCATAAGCTCCAGTATAAATATACATTTGAAAACTCCAGGGGACTTTATAGTCACTAATAGAAAAATCCACCCAAAGCAAATTCTAGATATCCAAAATTTAAACTCAGCAGACGCAGGGAGTGAACACAAACTAGTACTAGTGAAGATAAAAATGAAAATAACACCAAAACAAAATTTTCTAAAGAAAATCACCGAGGAAAAATTCAATGTAGAATCATTGTGGAACGACTCTACAAGAGAAATGTACCAAAGGAGGCTAAGCACAGAAGATACAGCTGAAACAAATAGACGAGATCGAAGATATAAACGCGAGCTGGGAGAAAATTAAAAACAACATTGAAGAAGCAGTAACAGAAGCTCTAAGAAAACGCAAAGTCATACTAAACAAAAGAAAAAACAACAATACGCCATGGTTCAGCAAAGAAATAAAAGAGAAATGTAAAGAGAAACGAGAGGCCTACACGAAGTACAAAACATCAAATACCCCAGAATCCCGAGACAACTATAGAAGAACACGAAATAAAACAAAGCAGTTGGTAAGAAGACAAAATAAGCACTGGGAACAGTTTACAAAAAGGATGAAAAGCGACTTCTACGGTACACAAAAACAAATATGGAGCTTTATAAGAAACCAACAGAAAGAAATGGCAGAATTGAAGGAATGTAATAACATACCAGCAAACGAATGAGAAAGATACCTGACGGAACTGTTTAAAGCAAAGGAAAATAATAATAATGATCAACACAATAACGTACCTGAATTAAGACACGAAATAGAAATTTTTCAGGTTAGTAGAAATATATATAGATAGTTTTCAGGAAGTAGAAATAGCCCTAAATTCGCTCAAAAATAGAAAGTCACCAGAACCAGACGGAATAACCAACGAGCTTCTAAAGTACGGAGGCGAAAGTATAACCCTAGAGATGATAAAACTTATAGAAAAACTAATATTGCATGATTATACCAATGTTCAAGAAAGGAGATAAAGAAGACCCCAACAATTATAGAGGTATAAATCTACTGAACACCGCACTTAAGCTTACCACAAAAGTCCTAACCAATAAAATTAATAAACTAACAACTTTATCAGATGAACAACAAGGATTCAGATCCGGAAGATCCTGGGTACTGCGATCCTAAGACAAATTACAGAAAAGGCCATCGAGTACAATAAATCAGCATATCTATGTTTTATAGACCTGACAAAGGGTTTCGATTGCATCCAAGTCGAACAAGTCTTACACCTACTGTATAACAGAAACATACCAATCAATTTTATACAAACCATCGAAAATATCTACCTTCAAAATCGAATACAGGCAAATATACATGGAAAACTAACACAGTGTATACCAGTACAAAGCGGAGTCAGATAGGGTTACTCGTTGAGTCCACTTCTCTTTAATATAATAATGGACGAAATAAGACAAGCAGTACGTAAAGGTCGGAATGGGACGTTTCGGCGTCGCCGTTTCGGCGTGGCCATTTCGGCGTGGCCGTTTGGGCGTAGAGCCGTTTCGGCGTAGGCCGTTTCGGCGTAGGCCGTTTCGGCGTCGGCCATTTCGGCGTCAGAAATTTTATTTTAGTTGACTAAATACCTACATTGAGGTTTATTGGTCAGGCAATTTTTTGGAAAAAAATCTTTTAATATAGTTATTTAAATACATTGGAGTTCATTGGTCACACAATTTTAACATTAATGGTCAAGTAGAAAAATAAACTAAATATATTTCTTTTATAAACATTTTGTTATATTTTATTCTGCAAATACCTATATTGGATTTTTTATTAATGCATATTAATAATAATTGCTGTTCTCTTAATTGTCCCAGAGCTAATTAGATGATAACTGACATTTTTCAACTTTAATTAGACATACATTATATGGTATATAGACGGAGAATTTTAATATTGTTAAAATATCTTTTTTAAGCAAAAATATTTGCAGAATGTATATTTTTAAAAAAAATTAAATTATACAATATTTTCTTGAAAGGAATCTGCTTTTAAAATATTTACCATTAGTTAGTATAATAATAGTTATCCCTATATTTATTGCAGTTTCTTCGAAAATTTAAATACAAAATTCTATAAATCACATAATAATGTTATTAACATTTCCTCGAAAACTAAATTACCTGTTAATTCCAAATGACATTATCATGTATCAATTAGTTGTTGATTTCAAAAATTACATTATAATGTCATTAACGAGAGATGCAAGTTATTTGTTGATTTTAAATATTCGAAAACTAAATTAGTTGTTGATTTCAAAAATTACATTATAATGTCATTAACGAGAGATGCAAGTAATTTGTTGATTTTTAATCTTAAGGGAAATTTTAAGTAGGTACCTACTATTATTGATTTGATTGGTTGGATTATTGAGGGTACAGCTATATAAACAGAGATCAGTTTAAGAGTTTATGTAGTGTCTTATAATATTTCATAGTAGTATTTATACGATATACAGACGAAGAATTTTTAAGCTATGGAACGAAAAATTTTATCGACCAGAGGAAGAGAGAAATTTACCACTGATGGTTTCATGTATGTTTTTGACGCTGTTAGTAAAAGCGATGAATCCCTAAAATTTTGGAGGTGTGAGAGGAAACAAACGTGCAAAGCAAGAATACATACAAGAGATGGTGAAGTCATCAAGAAAGTAAATGTTCACACTCACGACTCCTCGGCGATGGACGTGGAAGTAGCACAAGTTGTTACAAAAATGAAAAGCGTGCTACAGAAACAAACGAAGGGACAATAGTGGTAATCAATGAGTGCCTGAGAAATACAAGTCAAGCTTGTCATGGTCGGCTCCCAAACACTGGCGCGATGAGAAAATTCATCAGACGAAAACGTAACGAAGTTCATGCAGCCCCATCAAATCCGACAACTGTTGAAGAGTTAGTAATTCCCGAGTCTTATCGTGTTTACACGTTACAAGATGGTGTAGAAGAAAATTTTTTATTAGCAGATGATGGAGAAGGATTGCAAAGAATTTTGATTTTCGGGAGAGAATCGTGGCTGCAACATCTACAGACCTCAGATGTGTGGTATGGTGACGGTACATTTGCTATAGCACCATCTCTATTTTTACAAGTATACACAGTTATGGCCACAAAATATAATGGAGTCCATCCAATATTTTATGCCATGCTGCCGAATAAAACAAGATCCACATATACCCGTATGTTTGAATTGATCAGACAAATTGTACCAAATTTGCAACCCAGAGCAATCCATTGCGATTTCGAACAGGCGGCATTTAAGGCAATGGAAGATTGTTTTCCAGGCGTCGACATCAATGGATGTTTTTTCCATTTGGCACAAAATATGAAGAAACAAGTGGCTGCTATGGGATATACGAGAGAGTATAATGCTGATCCACAATTCGCTTTAAATTGCAGAATGTTGACAGCATTAGCATTTGTTCCTATCGAACATTTAGATGATGCCTTTGCCGTTCTAGCGGAAGCTCTACCTGCTGAACACCAACCACTTGTAGACTGGTTTGAAGACTACTATATTGGACGTATGAACAGAAGAGGAAATGGCAGAAGACCAAGTTTATTTCCCCAAAGGATGTGGAACCTCTACCAGAGAACTCTGGATGGAGAAGACCGGACAAATAATCACGCTGAGGCCGCCCATAGAAGACTCAAGATGGAATTGGGAGCAGATCATCCAACCATATGGAAATTTATAGATGGCCTGCGTCAGGTGCAGAAAGGTCGAGATGTCTATTTCGAGCAACTTGTGGCAGGTAATCTCCCACCATTGAAATTAAGAAAATACAGAGACGCAGATGATCGCATTTCACGGCTTGTGGGAAATTTTGATGCAAACGGGGATGTTTTAGAATTTTTAAGAGGACTAGCACATAATTATAATATGTAAGTAGGTACTTTATTTTAATTAATATTTCGTGAATAAGTTTTGTAGGTTAAATATAAATGTCTTGTATGTAAGTATAAATGTTTCAGAATTTTTAATTGGACTAGCACATATCTAATTATAACATGTAAATACTTTATTTTAATTAATATTTCGTGAATAAGTTTTGTAGGTTAAATATAAATGTTTTGTATGTAAATATAAATGTTTCAGGATTTTTAATTGGACTAGCACATATCTAATTATAACATGTAAATAATAACTAAAATAAAATATTCATTTTTCCAAAATCTTGTTTATTCATTTATTTATATATAATATCTACAGCTAGAAGCCAATTACAGATATTACATTAACTATGAGCTAAATAACAAGCACACACACATAAGTATAAAATTCACATATACAAATCTACCATTAATATTAAAATTTTGTGATCAATGGACTCCAATGTATCTATTTAAATAACTATATTAAAAGATTTTTTTCAAAATAATGTCTTACTAATAGACTCCAATGTAGGTATTTAGTCAACTAAAATAAAATCTCTGACGCCGAAATGGCCGACGCCGAAACGGCCTACGCCGAAACGGCTCTACGCCCAAACGGCCACGCCGAAATGGCCACGCCGAAACGGCGACGCCGAAATGTCCTAGACCCCGTAAAGGTCATGGCCATAGAATGGGGAACAAAGAAATCCAAATATTATGTTATGCAGACGACGTCGCATTAATCGCCGAGACAGAGGACGAGCTCTAAAGATTAACACATATCTTCAATATAACAGCTAAGAAATACAATATGATAATATCAGCAGAAAAAACCAAATGTATAACATCTAAATTATAACTACGATGTAAAATCGAAATTGATGGGAAAATAATAAAGCAGGAAGCAAGGTTTAGATATTTGGGAATAGATATAATTAGTTACCGAAATGTTGAAGAAGTACGACAATAAAGCTTAAAAGCAAGTAAAGCGGCGGGTTCTCCTAATGAAACAATCTGGAAGAGCAAACACCTAAGACAAGACACAAAAACAAGAATCTATAGTGCAGCAATTAAACCTATATTAACATAGACGGCGGAGACAAGACATGACAGATCTAAAACGAGACGACTGCAAGAAACAAGAGAGATGAAAATACTCCGACGAATATCAGGGAGAAGTCTGTCGGATAGAGAGAGAAGCGAAAACATAAGAAGAGCATGCAATATAGAAGACATAAATGGATGGGTGACAAAACGAAAACAGGAGTGGAACGAACATATCAGTGGAATGGCAGAGGATAGAATAGTACGAATAGCACGAGATAAGTCACCAAATGGACGAAGAAAGATTGGCAGACCAAGAAAAAGATGGTGCGACAATTTAAACAATTTAGGAGGCTAATATTGAAGAAGAAACAGGCTTTAAAGCCTACATACCAGAAGGAAGAAGAAGAAGAACGTGGTATATGATAGACGACATTTTGTTCTAAAGGGATCGTATCCGTCTCCGGATGAAATCATAACAGGAATATGTTAAAATATGATACGACAGGCAATACCAAAGTCAATGCAATAGAATACTTTTGTGAATACCATGCGGTCCATATGTATGGAATAAATTCATTTTTAGCGTTATTATGTACTATGTGAAAAAAAAAACGTGTAACAGGTCGATTATTATTCTTAAATTGACAATTTACTGTATATAAAAATACTGTATAAAAATATTATATAAAAATATTATCTCCCTCCAGCATCCCCTTTGAATTTTAAATACCAAACCTCCTCGAAAATTTTAAATACCAAAGGGAGTCATGTGACACCTTGTTAGAAAGGGATTTTAATCCTCTGTTTAGCAATATAAAGGTTTTTAAGTTTGGTGCAATCGTAACTGAGAAGAGTGATTTTTAAGATGTAAAATTTTGATAATATATCACAAAACTTAAGGTTGAATAACGATAATATTGTCACAATATTTAGAATGTATTTTTCAATGTACTTTACAATTAAATTAAATGTTCAAAATGACCACCATTTACTTCTTGACAATAACCGAGGCGATTTTGTAATTCTCGTACAACATTGTTATGACCACAGGGGTTATTTTGTAAATTTCTTCACTTATCTTAACTTTTAAATCAGCAATATTGTCTGGTCTATTAAAATCTACTTTAGAAATAATCAGGTATTTTCGTATCTGTTCTGCTATTATTGAAGTTAAAAATCATAAAATATTAGTCAAAAAGCCAAATAAACAATTGATATGAATCTAGTAGGCTGCTATCATTTAGGTATTTAAAGTTACTAAAAGACGTCAGTATAATGTTTGTGTGCGTATTAAATTTAATTATGGCTCATTTGTCCGAGACTCAAAGAATAGACATTTTAATTATGATTGGTTGTGATAATAAAACAAGAACTTAAAAGGAGGTTTGTGAAATGTTTAATATTAAATATCCTGGTCAACAAGTGTCGTAGTCTACAGTTAGCAAAATTAAAAAGAAGTTTCGTTATAACATGTAAAATACATTAAAAAACCAGGTAGAAATGTTAAATTTCAATTATTTAAGTAAATGTATGTCAATTATATAAGTAAATAATCTACTTTGACAGTTTTGCATAAAGAAAAATACAACCTTTACAAAGTTCAGTTCCAAGTTAAATGAAGATGATCCTGACAGAAGACAAGAATTCTATGAAATAATGATAGACAAAGTGAACGCAGATTTGCGGTTCCTAAACAAAATAGTTTTTCTGATGAAGCGACGTTTCATTTAAACGGAACGGTTAACACATAGAACTGTAGATATTGGAGCACAGAATCCTCACTGGGTGTGTGAGACTCACACGCAATATCCTAAAAAAGTTAACGTTTGTGCTGGTATCATTAACAATAAAATTATTATTGATCCTGTTTTTTGAGGGCACAGTTGATAGTGAGGTTTAACTAGATTTTTTTATTAACTTTTTAGTGCATACATTACGAAAATTTTTGCCTGATGTTAATCATCCAAATGAGATAAATCGATTTATTTACTGCTAACAAGACGGAGCTCATCCGAATTTTGCACTTTTAATTAGAAATTATTTAAACGAGGTTTTCCCCAATACGTGGATTGGAAGGCCGAAAAGTGGTAGAACGATCGAATGGTCGGCTATATCCCCGATTTGACTTCTCTCGATTACTTCTTATGGGGTTATTTAAAATCTAAAGTATATTTTAATAGACCAAACAATATTTCTGATTTAAAAGTAAGGTTAACGGAAGAAATTAACAAAATATCCCCCGAGGTCGTACAAAATGTACGAAAATTGCAAAATCGCCTCGGTTATTGTCAATTATTGTCAAGAAGTGAATAGTGGTAATTTTTGAACATTCAATTTAATTGTAAAGTTAAGTGTAAGTAAAGTTTTGTGATCGAGACATTATCAAAATTTTACATCTTAAAAATCACTTTTTTCAGTTATGATTGCACCAAACTTAAAAACCTTTATATTGCTAAACAGAGCACTAAAATCCCTTTCCAACAAGATGTAACACGACCCCCTTTGTTATTTAAAATTTTCGAGGGGGTGCGTATAATTCAAAAGGAGTGCTGGAGGGAGATAATATTTTTATACTGTAAATTGTCAATTTAATAATAAAAATCGACCTGTTTCAGGTTTTTTTCATATAGTGCATAATAATGCTAAAAATGAAATATGAAATTTATATACCAATTAAACGTAGTTGATATATGCAGCAACAAGATAAATGGTGTATTGTACCTTACCCAATGAAATTACTTCAGCCACGATTTGATTGCGAACCCTCTGGTTCAGTGAAAATTCAGGAATCAAAAACTAGCATATTTCTACGATAGGAACTGTCTTTCTCACAGGACCGCAGCGAAGTCCCCTAAGAAGGGCTGTTATTAACCCACACACACAACTGTGGCGATTGGAAGATAAAACTCGACTATTTTACAATACCAAAGCGAAGTATGTCACGTACTCTTAACCCAAAACGCACGTCAGTCTCATATGGCATATGTAATTCGTCTCTTATCTCAAATACACGTCTGTGTCATTTTGCAGATGGCTCGTCTCGTAATATGTAGTTTTTAACACAGCTGCATTTTTGTACGGGCTGTAAGCTGTAATCTGGGAATACGGGGAGAATGAAAACTACCACACAGTCTGTTAATATTATATAAATGTTTATATATCGTTGCAAAACTGCAACAACAACTACCGTGTGTCGTTTGATATAACGTGTATTGATTGTCAGTGACGTGAGATTTTACTAAGATGTATTAAATGTATATTTGTATAAAAAAAATTCACATACAATCATGTCTTAAGAGAAAGTAAATATTTTAAGTTAATAATTATAGGTTGATTTATTATTTGGTTTTAGATTGTGAGTCACAAGAACTAATATCTTCATATTTCGTAGATGAAAACGATGTTGAAGTATATACGGACAGAGGTAAATATTTTCTTTTTCCAAAGTAAATTTCTTTTGTTTAGAACGTTTTATATTTTTAGAACCATAATAATATTTATTTACTTTTGATACCATACGTTTTCATTTTCTAGAAACTCTAGTTGATTTTGGTTCTGTAAAAATAGGTTAAGATAAGGAGTGATTTTCTGTAGAAATGTCTCCGAAAAGTGAGTTCTTAGAGACTCCAAATACAAATCACTGCGCGCCCCGCTTTACCTGTGCACACAGCAAGTCGATAATTGCTTTCTAACACTTGTTATATATATATATATATATATATAATATATATATATATATATATATATATATACATATATATTATTGAAATTTATCGAAAATTATTATTCTTTTGAAAATCAGAAAAAAGGCCTGGATCTGGTGGTCATTTAAAAGGCGGTTGGAGTAAGGGGACGCAAACGTACAACTTTAAGTTATATACTAAACGAGACAACATAAATATAATATTAATCAACATCACTTTCGATATATTCCTCTTTATTTGGAGTATCATGAGGGCTAGCGGTAGTCGCATTTTCGACATCAAAAAGAGTCCTCGTTTAGAATTCAATATTCATTATTTTTAAGTATCTGTTGGCATATTCCAATGAACGACTGCTAGACATTTTTTTATTGATACCTACTTTATAAAGAATCAGGTTGCTACATATTCCTGTCATAGACTCTCTGGGTTGAATGGGTTTACCGCTTTCAAATTTGACGAATCTAGTTTTGGAAATACCCGTTATGAAAGTCTTGACATATGGCATCACGAATTGTTTATAATCTTCTTACTATAAGTACTCTGTCACTTGGATATAGATCTCCGCTTGATCTCAGACTGTGTTGAACGAATACAACATCAAAGGAATTCTTTTTTCTACATGTCTTAATCAGCTCAACGTAAGTCTCAGAATTGTCAATTACTTCAAGTTTCAGTCTTTTCTTCTCAATGGCGCCAAAGTCTCTATCCAATGGCATCATAGAGTGTCCTGGAATCCGATATTTCAATATTTTTAAAAATATTTCTTTTGTATAACTGGTCTAGGTTAGTAAAAAGAATTTAATTTTTGTTTTGATAAAATGCGTTGTCACAAAAATTTTTAACTTTGTGTGCAGCAACTCGTGTTTTTCAATATAATCATTCAAGCAGGTTATAACATCATTCGGCCCTTTCTGTGCAAAATTTTCCATGTAAGTATACATTGTTGTTTTATGTGTTTTTAGATCGTGAATCCCAAAAATGTACAACCATAACTGACTCATATAATATTTTATAATCAAAACATTATAATCATTTCAGAAAAATCGGTTAATTTTTGAACTTAAGCTAGTTGTGTTTTAAATATATCTGCTTTTTTTAAGATAAAGGTTCTTATTCCCATTAAGTGTTTTTAAGGTTTCCTTATTAGTTCAGCTTGCCTTATACTAACTAGGAATTTTGTATTGGTGTTGCATACATCTTTTCTTGGATAACCAAATAAAATGTTAAATTGTTTATGAAATACCTCGCAAAAATCCCATATCAGACTTTATTATCAGAATGTGTGTTGAAATTTTTATGTAGTTTAGTGATTGATAGATTAGGGTCCAGGTATTTTATATCAGATCTTGTATAGTGCGATTCTCGGCAATAATTTTAAGAGCAATAAATTTTCTGACCGTTTCAAGATATTCTGGTGGTGTTCTGTTAGGCCTAGTGGCATGACGGCCTCTATTGTCTGCTGGATGAGCTACAGTTATAACCTTATTGTCTAACCTTAAAAATCCCGTATATAGCTAAAAATGCTGTTTGATATAAAGACATTTTCCATTTTCTGAATTATTATTAACCTCGTATGAGAAGACTATATGACTTCCTGATTGCTCTTTATTACGTACACGCGATCGGTTTTTCATAACTTTCTTAACACAATAAACATAAAGAAATTGTTTATTCTGAATGGGTATATAGACTACAGTACTTTTCAAAAATATTTGCTTGCTGTAAATCACTTAGCTTAGTTGCACACTTACACTTACAAACGCCAATTTCCAAGCCGTTTCTTTTCTTTTGAAGCAAATTCTCGGAATCCCCTCCAACAGGAACAAAGTTATTGGTTACATTTTCTGGTTCTACAGAATGAACGTCTCCTTTATTCTCGCTGCTACGTGAATTACAAACTATCGCAGGTATACTATTGCGAGAGTGCCTTCGTGAGGATCATGTTCACTTCCCGAGGTTATATCTTACTGTAACTACGAGATTCTAAAATAAAAAATGCACTTTACTAAACAAATTACCTTAAAATCATTATTTTTACTAAGCTAGGCTTATTGTTTAATATTGTATTTCTCATGTATTTAAACTTCCTATTTATTTTTAATATAATATCATAATTAATATGCACAATATTTTTACCAAAATCAGACATTTTTCTCTACGATACTTTCTTATAATTCCAAAAAATTCACAGACCAAAGTTACACGTGAATCTATTTCATCAACAAAATTGAAGGTTAGGTATCCCCGTGTCAGTAGCAACAAGTTGTCAATTCCATAGACTTGGACAATTTGAATTTGTTGGCACTTAGCAACTTCTCGCACTAAAATTATGATTGATTAAAATTTTACGATATGGGTTTTACCCAGTAAGACACTTTTTATTAGAAATCTGACTTCACCAGTTTATAGTAGGTACAGATAATTTTATATATATGTCGCTACCTAACTCAATTCTAGAAAAATATGGTCTTAGCTACTTTTTGCACTGACCCCTTCAATTGTTTTTGGATACTTTATCTACTTATACGACTACTAAATCAAACTCTAAAAAGTAAAAAAAAAACACCCTACAGGGGTAAATTCACCCCTAAAACAGGCGCTTTTTCGAACTTCCTATAAAATCACATATAAAGGCATTAAAAATATAAAAAAATTAACTTTTTATGGGTTCCTTGCTATAAAAGTGCCAATATTTTTTTTATTATACCTCAAATCCTTGAGGTATGAGATCCAATGAATAGAAAAAATTGTAACCATAGATGTAATAGTTTTTTTTGTTTAATATTTAAAAAGTGTCTTTTTTTAATTTAGAAAGTAAAAGTCCCCATAAGTTATAGTTTATTTCATGTAATCTAATGAATTACAATAAAGCCGTCCCAGGAACGCAACTCAAAAATATTAACAATATCGTGTTAAAGTCATCTACTTTAAAATGTAAAATATGTCAGAATTGTCAGACAAAGTATCAAAAACAAAATTTGTTTAATTAATTAATGTTTTGTAGTTTGACAATGATTTCCGAGGTGGAAATCAAAACATAAAAAGGTAAAAATAAGCTTATTTTTAGTAAAATTGTAAAATTCTAATTGTACAAAATAATAACTACACGATTATTTATTATTTGGTTTTAGATCGAAAGTTACGAGTACCAATAGCTTTATATTTCTTGAATGAAATAGATAGTGACACTGGTAAGTTTTTTTCAAAACGTATTATTTTATTTAAAATGTGTTATATTTTTAGAACCATAAAAATTTTTATACAGGGTGGTGAATCGTTAAAGGGGTCATAGGAAAATGGAAAATTCTAAATTGTTGAATTCCTGCTTCCCTAGTTATTTTACACCAAAAGTTATGAGAAAAACTATTAGTAGAGGACTGAAATCCCAATCGGAAACAAATGTGACAATTGTTCTATAAATTAAACGTATTCCAAAATTTTGCAAAAATATAATTCATATTTCAAACCACCCCTAAAAAGCAAGCCACACGCAGTACACGAATGTGTATGACGTGTTGCGTTTGATATATTGATGTTTCTCATTTTTTATTTTATAATTTATTTTTTAAAAAACAAAAGATTTGATTAAAAAATGTATTCAGTTGAGGAGAAAGTAGCAATAATAAAAATGTCTTTCCAAGTCATTCAACAATTCAAAGGATTTTACAAGATTTTGAAAATACTGGGATCGTGATTTCCAATTTTACCTGTACAAACAATGTTGTTGAGGTACCAAGAAATTTAAAAAAATTAAAATGAAACAAATGTATTAACACTAGTAGTAGAAAATCCTAAAATAAGTTCTCGGACCTTTGCAGACCAGTTTAATATTCATAATTTCCTGTGCACAATTTAACTGGGAGCTTAAGGAATTCCTTAAAAACAGCTTTAGTAATTGTTTGATTGGACCTAACTATAACATTAAGTAGTTTCCAAGATCAGAAGATCTAGCTCTAAACGAATATTTTATCTGGGGACATCATCAAAAATCTATTCTGACCAAAAATTTACAGGTATTGAAGCATTAAAAATGCAAATTTTTAAGTAGAGTATGCAAAAATAACGATACGCTAACTAATGTTACGACGAGAGTTTTACAATCGATTAAAATACTGTTTAGTAGAAAATGGCGGATTGTTTGAACATTTTTGTTATAGTTTTATGTTTAGATATTACCATGAATTATTTTTAGGAATAAGGAATCACAGTAAAACTGTATTCAAATTCTTTGAAACCTGGAATTGAATTTCAAGTGTATTGGAATATCTTACTTTAAATAAAGATTTGGACTATTAAAGAACTATTGCCTGAACACAATACTATTACGATTTTTTGCTAACTGAGTAAATTTCATTAACTCTATTGCTTTGTAAACAATAAATTATATTATAGATTAAATGTGAAGATATCTTTTACATGACGAGATCAATTTCAAAGTAACTTATATACAGACCAAGATTGGGAATATACGTGACGTCAAAATACAGTTATTGTTATTCTTATGTTATTGATATTGTTTTTGGCAACAAATTTACCTAATTTTTTAATTATTTGAAGATTTACATGGCAAAATATATTTAAAAGTTATTCACTAGTATTACAAGAATATACAATCTTGGTAATTTAACGACTTAGAATCCACGTGATATGGACGATTTACCCTTTTAATTGTCTTAATTTGTGACAGAAATATCAAGTACAATATTATATACAGTACGTTAAGTTTTGGAATAGATATTGGAAATTGCATAAAGCGCTAAAATCGGCAACATTGCCTCGTACGAGATAAATTCTCCGATCCCTTTCGACACCAGACTTCTAGACAACGAGAAAACCATATTGTTACACATAACAGTGCATGGGTTATGCATCTCCGTCCGTCGACTTTTGTTCTTCTAATATATATACCTGGTTCATTTCTTATAACATAAACTCGATAAAAATATACTGTATTCTATTCTAAACTACTGTATTCTAAAATATACTATGTAAAAAATAAAAGCGTATTCCTTTAAAAAGACAAAACAAAAAATATACTCTTATTGAAAATAAAAAATAATTCCCAATAAAACAAGAAATAATTCTTTATGCCCTACAGAAATGGTTCAAATATTTGACCTTCCACGGCTGAACAGTATCCCAGTCTGTCATAAAAACTTCTACGGACAAATGCATGAGTTTCTGCTGTATGAATGAATTGTGAATTGGAGACTCCTGTTATTCGGTTTCTTAATTCATCCATATTTTTGGGCTCTAGCCTAATGATAATCATAGAAGATGCTTTTTAAATGTCTCCATAAAAGAAGTCCACGGGTGTAAGATCTGAAAATTACGCAGGCCACTTAATATCGCCTGTTCCGATGATAAATTGATTCGGGAAAATATTGCTTAAGTACTCCCTAATTGAGGAGGAGGTGTTCAAAAAACGATTTGTCACAATAAATCACAAGTTGAGATTTTGGTCTCATTTGAAAACTTATTTTGAACCATATGTTAGTAAATAAAAGTTTGATCAAAACGAATTTTGTTGTATGCTTTTTCACATATGAAATATAGGTAGCAAAACAAAACAAGTTTTGTCCACCATAAGTAGTTAATCAGAAAATGTTTAGTCACAACCCGCCAATTACAGGACAGCATTCGCCCTACCCATGATGCTCTGTTGTTTGAGGTTAGCAGTTTTCACAATGTTTTGTTCAGCTTCATTGTTACGGTGTCACAGAGCTAGTAGTTTTTAATTTAATATTAATTAGGATGAGTAAAATTATTGAGGACTCTTTTGTAAGTGAGGAAGACGGAAATGATGGCTCAAGGAAGAGGACTATAAATCCTCGACAGATGAAATTGGCAAAGAAGAAAAAGACTAACCCAACCTAAAGGTTACAATACCTTCAACCCGTGCTCACATTCCTCTTAAAGGTTTTCTTGTAAAAGCTTTACTTCTAGTGATTGTTCTCATGTGAGGAAAAACTTGCTATCTGTGCCCAATAAAACTGCCGTCCGAGTGTTTAAACGAGTGGAAAAATTGTTGCGTAAACAGCCAACTATCATCCATAAACAAACCTACATCGATGTATACGAATCCGTTGGAACAGTAAAACTACTGGGAGAAGATTGGAAACTGTTTGACACCAAAAGTCTTTTATCAACAGAAAAAGGCTGCTTTAGGCGTCTAGACGGTATCTCAGACTGCAAGAGAATTTTCATAAAAAGAGAAGTTGTTAATCGACAAACTAAACCTTGGTCAGAGGCCTAATGAACTTTGTGTTTGAATGTGAGATGGAGGCATGGAAATCTCTTCAAAAGAAAGGTTAGCCTGCTAAAAAATACGCCTTATTATAGATAGATGAGTTGCCACTCGGTCACAGTATACCTCCAGCCAAAAAGAGAGATGGTGGAAAGGTTTTGAAGCAGATCTGTGGGGAAGAATGGAAGGACGATATCAAACACTATATTGGTATCGTCGTATCGTTTCTAACAACGTCCCTGGAACAGAAGAAGCTGACAATGATGAAGAAAACTGTGACTGTCTAGAGGAAGGTGTTGGGATGCACGTTTGAGTTTTGAATTTTATACATTTAACTTTTGATTTTATACTCATAAGTCATAAAGGTATTTCTGTTTATATCAAATTTTTTGTTTTGTGAGTTTATTTTTTGATCTATACCTATCTATAGCATTTTTCATATAAAAAGCTTGCACGTCATTCAAAATTTACGTCGTCAGAACCCCACAGCGTTGGCAAAACATCAGAATAGTTAGTAAGTGTGGAATTTTTAAAATGTCAAATATTTGTCAAACTATTATTTTAACAGTAAATACACTTAGTTTTAAGACTACTGCAACACATTAAAATACATAAGAAAACATTTTAATACAAAATTAAATATTCTAAATTTTAAACTTCTCTCTTTTAGGGCTTTAATAGTAAAAACGTCCCGCCATTATTTCTTGTTCATAATAATCTATCTTATATGAAAGCTTATCAGCTTTCTACAGACTATTTATTTGTTTTGGTATATCACAATCACAATACACAACAATAATTAGTTTTTAAAGCTATTAATTTAAATTTAATATGTATTTATAAATACAATTTATTAATATATGACAGGTTATGATCAATTAGACTTAAAGAGTTATTTCATACAATTTATAATATTAATAATAACAAATGTTTTTGGTTATTTAATCAACATAATTCTAAAATTTCCAATATAATGATGATTACATTTTTCTGATTATTACACCATGTTGACGCCTATGAAAAATCGAGCAGTTCCGTATGGGTTTCGTCTTATTAGCTGTTTTAGGAAAATTTGAACTCTAAGGTTGATGTTCTGGAAATTTTAAATACAAGTGACGTCACTTTGTTTAAATCGTGACTTGTAAGTGTTTTACTTTGAAAAAGGGTATACATGATCAATCAAAAGAAGATTAGTCTTCATAGAGTTGATTCAAAAGAAGTTTGGTCCATACCGGTCGATCAAAACGCGTTTATACCATTGAATAAACCTATTTCTTTTATAAAATAAGCACATAATGTTTTACTTTTATATTTATTTTTAGTGTCCAGAAAATAGAGAAAATAGAAAATAAAGAAATAGTTTTTTTATTTTTTGAACATTTTTCCAGTTGTGACAAATCCTTTTTTGAGCGTCACCTCCTCAATTAATCGAGTCTTGTGAACTGAATAACCGTCTTGATGGAACCAAACATTCTCCAGATTTATATCAGAAATATTGAGAATAGCGGGAAGAACATTATTCCGTAACAAATCGAGGTACACTTTTTACTATTCAATTTGCCCTCAATAAAAAATGGACCTATTATGTATTCTACTAAAATGCTATTACCGACGTTAACTTTTTAAGAACATTAAGTTAAGTAAACAACACTTTTGTGCTGGTTTTCCCGCGCCCAATACCTCATAATGGAAGGATTGTGTCTCCCTACTAACGAAACAGAAGATTCATCAGTAAATAAAATGTTTTAATAAAAATGCAAATCATAGATAAAGAATATATATAATAATATAAGAATGATGCAAATACAGTAATAATGCTAACATCTCACTCTCTACTAACGCTTCTACTTGAACGTGTTGAATCTACTTCGATTGTTGCACAAATTTGTGTATACTTGTATTCTCTTTCCTCAACTTTTTCTGGTGACACTTCTTGAGCGTGACATTTTTTGCAATTTTTGAGGCAATAAAAACTCTCAAAATTTTTAACAAACATGAACTGACTGTGCGCAAGGAATTGGTCTCTCCTCAAAAAACACAGAAAACAAATATTCACACTGTTGTCCAGAATTACCACCATAAAACGATTTTATTATTTGAACTTTTTCTGCAGGCGAATAAACAGACACGTTGTTTACAAATATAAATTAAAAATCTAGGCTCTTATTGCTTTAACCAGTGTATAATGACAAATTATTGGCAACGGGGCAACGGAGGTTCGTGGAAAGTTGACGGCGCGCAGTATTGCCATTTATGGTGTGTATATATTTAATTTAAAACTTAACGTAGTAGACAAATATCAAATACAATACTAAATCCATAAAACTCAAATAAGCTCTTAAACCGGCCTACCTTCAATATTACCAAATATAGAATAATATGTCTTGAGAAGGTGGCTTTTGCTCTAGGAATAACTTTCAATTTTAAAAATTGTCTGATAAAGAGGGTGGCATTTTTTGATTTTTGGCCAAAATGAGAAACATTAATTACATATTATTTTGATTTATACAAACTTTAAGCTTTATGTACTACCAAAACCAATAATATACTTCATGTAAGAAAATGTCGTTTTAGATTTTTTTGTTTACTATAATGATGGAAAATCAAAGAAATTAAAAGGAGTAATTTCTAAAAATAATGTTAAACGAGAAGCAGTTATTAAGTTTAATTGGAATTACGATAAATATACAGAAAAAGAAGGTGTCCTGCTGGCTCAACTTAAGCATCCCAACATAATAGAGTTATTGGGTTATGAACCAAACAGGAAACTAATTATATTAGAATGTATGAACTTGTTTGATTTAGAAAAAGGCCTAGAGAATAAGGTATGTATGTCTATTTCTGCCATGTGTGCTTTGACGAACTGTGCGTTTTTTTCTCAACCCTTTTTTATATTAAGTTTGGAAATGTTATAATAAGTCGAATAAAATGCTATCGCAGATCATCAATGTATGGAGCCCTTGGTGTTGGTGGCTCGCTTATTTTTCTGGGGTGTAGCTTAGTGTATGAGAGTGAGTCTCTCAACATCCTTTAACTGACGTCTTGCATAAGGTTTTACACGAAGCTCCAGCACTAAAGGTGCCCCGAACATTTTAGTGTTTTATTATTTTATACCTTTTGCAGCGTTTCTCAACCATTTGCGACCCAATTTTCCATAATTATTTTTACCGCACCCCCTCTCGTACAATAACAATATATCTATGCAATGAATAATAATGTACCTTGAGTATTTTGACAAAAAAATTTACAAAGAAAAGAGTAAAATCTGTAATTACCATATTACCAAGAATAAATAAATTTATTGGTATGTGGTAATACCGATTCGGAACCGATCGCTTTTCGTCGCAAGAGGTTCCGATATTTTGTACATCTCTCCTCACTCCTCAGTTTTGACCGTGACCAGTTTTAGTCAAGTCAGTTTAGTCAGTCCTTCTGCACCTGTTAAAATTATTGTGAACGTGTATGTTTTAGTTTGGAGCGCAAACTAGAATATCTTGGATATGTTCTGAGGAATGAACAGAGATACGGCTTGTTGCAACTCATACTTCACGGCAAGGTATTTGGAAAGAGAGGACCAGGGAAAAGAATATCTTGGCTTTAAAACCTGAAAAAGTGGTTTAATACATCGACAACCGGACTATTCAGAATAGCAGCGAGCAAAGTTAGGATAGCCATGTTGATCGCCAACATCCGAAACGGATAGGCAGCGTATGAAAAGGAAGATGTTTTAGTTTGCATGCTAATTGCAGTTAACGGTACTATAATAAAATCTTCCAAGCAGTAGGTAAATATAAATTTATACAAAATCATGGATAAATTTTTAACTGGGCGTAAGAGAGCATTAAATACCAGTGAAGCATCAACAATTGCACAGGCAAGAGTGGTTCCAAAAGTAAAATTAACAAAATTACTTTAAATTGCAATTACTTTTACTTAAGTAAAAGTAAACCCAAGTAGTGGTTTTACTAAATTTAGTAGGATTTATAATAAATAAAATTATAAGTAAGCATGTCCAAATTATCAAAGGTATATCAGATCATGTCGCCTATGTCATACTTAAAATAAGAAGAACATCAATTAAAATTATCCAGGTATATGCCCCCACGACAGCTTATAATGAAGAAGATATTGAACTATTTTATGAAGATATATCAAAGGCTATGGAAGAACATAAAAATCGTCTTACATTAGTAATTGGAGATTTCAATGCCAAACTGGGTAGAAAACTAAACAAAACAGAAACTAAAATAGGAGATTTCGGGTATGGTCAGAGAAATGATAGAAGTGCTACTTTGATGAACTACCTAGAAGAAAAGCATCTATACGCAATAAACTCCTTTTACAAAAAGAAGCCCCAACGAAAATATACATGGATCAGCCCTAATGGATCCACAAAAAATGAGATCGACTTCATACTGTCCACGGAACGATATATCATTAAAGATGTAACAGTGTTTAACAGATTCACAACAGGTAGCGATCACAGGATGGTCAGTGCAAAAATTAGTATTGACGGTGACTATGAAATGAAAAGAAAAATAAGAAGAAACTGGGATCTAGTAGATAGAAACAAACTAGGGCAATATAAAGAGATATACAAAGACCTATTAAAAGAACAACTTCCCCAAAAATTAGAAAGTGATGATAAAGATATAGACGAAATAGACAACATACTTACAGCAACGATGATTACATCAGGAAAAGAAATAGCAAAAAAAGATCTAAAAAAGAACAACTATATGTCATCAAAAACAAAGAAGCTTATGCATAAAAGAAGGAAGCTGAACGAAGAAGGCAAAAGGAAATCTATAGAATATGTAGAAATCAATAAAACAATAAGCAGAATGATAAAAGAAAATAAGAGAAAAGAACAAGAAATAAAATAGAAGAAGTAGTACAGAACAACAAAAACATGAAATGCTTAAGGCCGACATTAGGTAAGTTTGAAATAAACAAAATAAAAGATGTAAATGGAGTATAAACAAACGTTAAAGATGACATCATAAATATAATCCACCATTTCTACTCAGAATTATATAAAACAAAAAAGGAACCACCAGAAGAAATTAAAAACCAACTTAAGGTTAAAATAGAAAATGTCAACTCAGAGCTACAGCCAGAAATAAGCAAATCAGAAATAAAGAAGGCATTGAAAGAAATGAAAAACAACAAATCGCCTGGAAAAGATGGAATAACTGCAGAGATGCTGAAATATGGTGGAAAAGTGGTAATTAATACTCTACATTCCCTGTTTAACAAGATATTAAAAGAAAAAAGAATCCCAAATATTTGGAAGGAAGTAGCAACCATTATCCTACACAAGAAAGGGGATAAAGCAGATATAAAAAACTACCGTCCTATAACACTCCTCAATGTAATGTATAAACTCCTAACAAAAATTTTAACCAATAGATTAACGACAAAATTCGACGGATACCAGTCAAAAAACCAAGCTGGTTTTAAAAAGGGATTCAGCACAAGTGACCATTTACTAAGTATGAAAATACTTAATATTGTTCTGAAGCTATTTTCTTATGGCATTTTAAATTAATTACTATTTAACTGGGAATAAGCCACAATTAAAGATAAAAATACGTTTATTGGCGTTTCAATTTCCACTTCGGAAATCGTTCTCAAAATACAAACAGTAAATAAACAAATTTTGTTTTTTGTTACATATTGAAAAATTCTTCTAATAATTTAATTTTATCTGACTCATTTATATTGACAATTTAGACATACATTATGCATTTTAAAGTAGACGACTTTAAAATGATATTGCCAATATTATTGAGTTGCGCTCCTGGGACGACTTTACTTATAAGATAGTTCATTCGACTAGATGAAATCAACTTTAACTTGAGAATATTCGTCAGAAAAAAATCATAGCATGTAATTCGTCTTTAAAAAGACAAACACATAACATGATGATAGTAAAATTTTCCTGTTAGTGATTCCATAGTAAATTATAAGGGAAAAAAATTCAATACGAAAACAAAATTAAAGATCTAATAATAAACGGACCTTATACAAAATTAACAAAAGATCCAACAAAGCCTTTGGAAAACAAAATATATAGAACTTTATTCAAGTTTAAAGATTTTTTAACAAGTTATCAGACAGGATTAATTACACCTCATTACAGTAAGACTCCTCATTTTTATGGAGGACCGAAAATTCATAAAACGAATATACCACTTACTCATTTGTATGAATTCTCCTTGTAGTGAACTATCAAAATTTTTAATAAATATTTTAAAACCATTTACAAATAAAAATGACACATTCATAAAAAATACACAACATTTTTTAAATAAATGATCAAATATTGAATTTAATTCAAATAATAATTTGGTATGTTTTGACATAAATAGTTTATTTACGAATGTGCCGTTAAATAAGACTTTAAGTATAGTCAAGACAAAATTAGAGAGTGATGATTTATTGGCAACTAGAACAAGACTAAACATATCGGCTATAATGGAGTTAGTACATATTAACATTATGTACTGATAATACATATTTTCAATTAAATAATGAATTCTATAAACAACATTTTGGTCTAGCAATGGGCTCTAGTTTATCTCCATTCTTAACCGATATATTTATGGAAGATTTTGAAACAAATATCATTTCTAAAAAAATTTAAAACCCACAGTATGTTGGAGGTATGTAGATGATGTATTCTCAATATAGCCTCATGGATCAGAGTTGTTGGACACATTCCTAAATGATATAAACGATAAAGAAGAGACAATAACATTTACCATGCAAAAGGAATAGAATAACACGCTACCTTTCCTGGATGTTTTAATCTCTAAGAACGATACTGGATATGAGACTCATGTGTACAGAAAACCAACACACACCAATAGATAGATATTTAAATTTTAAATCAAATTACAATATTAATGTGAAAAAGGGAATAATTAAATCCTTATACGATAGAGCCAAAATTACTTGTTCTAACGAAAATTCGTTCTTGGAGGAGAAACATTTGTTAACATCTGTTTTATTAAAAAATGATTATCCTTTATCGTTTATAAATAAGGAATTTTCAACAATCGATCGAATAGAACAGAACAACTTAGAACAAGATCCTACAGCATACACAAGGAATAATACGAGGAAAATAACAATACCGTACATAAAAGGATTATCAGAAAAACTTTAAAAGGATAGGAAATAAATTCAACATTTTAACAACATTCAAAACAACAAACACGTTGAGATCTATTTTGTCCAAAACCAAACCTAACAATGAACAAGAAAGGACAAATAATTGCATTTATAAAATACATTCCGAATGCGATCAGTTTTATTTAGGTGAAACATCAAGACCATTAAATGTTAGAATAAGTGAACATAAATCTTATATTAAAAATAGAGAATTTCTTCTTCTTAGAGTGCCGTCTCCCTATGGAGGTTGGCAATTATAATGGCTATTTTTATTTTAGAACTTGCTGCTCTAAACAAATCAATCGATCTGCATTGGTACCAATCACGTAGATTCTTTAACCATGAGTTCTGCCTTCGGCCAACAGATCTTCTTCCTTGAATCTTTCCCTGTATTATCAGTCTCAAAATTTCATATTTTGGTCCCCTCATCACGTGGCCTAGGTATTCCAGTTTTCTGGTTTGTATAGTGGTGATTAGTTCTGTTTCTTTACCAACCCTCTCCAGTACTTCTTTATTTGTAATTCTATCAGTCCATGACATTTTCAAGACTCTGCGGTATAACCAGAGTTCGAAGGCCTCGATTCTTTTTAAATTACATTTTTTTAATGTCCAAGTCTCAGCTCCATATAATAATATTGAAAATATATAACAGCGAATGGTACGTAGTCTGATCTCCAAATTTAGATTTTTGCACGTTAGGAGTGGCTTCATTCGTATAAATGCTGATCTGGCAATCTCTATTCGTCTGTTTGTTTCTACAGTATGATCATTGGTTTCATTGATCAAAGTTCCCAAATACTTATATTTTTCTACTTGTTCTATCACGTTACCATTTATTGTCAATAGGTGATGTATATTTTGTGGCCTTTTTGTAATCAGCATGTACTTCGTTTTTTTAGCGTTTATAGTAATTCCCATCTCAACACTATACTCAAGCTTTCGATAAGATGTTGTAGATCCTCTATACTCGTTGCTATGATCACAGTGTCGTCTGCATATCTTAAATTATTAATTAATTTTCCGTTAACGGTGACTCCCGCTTCGATATTATTGAGCGAGTTTTGGAAAATTTCTTCAGAATATAAGTTAAACAAAAGTGGTGATAACACACATCCCTGTCTAACTCCTCTACAGATCCTCATTTCTTCTGAGTGTTGCCCATCAATTTGAACTATGGCACTTTGGTTCAAATATAATGTTTGCACTATATTTATGATTTTACTGTCAATGCGCTTGTTCATAAGTATTGATATTAGTTTTTCATGTCTTACTTTATCGAAAGCTTTCTCGTAGTCAACGAAGCACAAGTGTAGATCAACATTTACATCCCGACATCGCTGAATTAATATGTTGATGGTAAATAGTCCTTCTCGAGTACCCATTCCATTTCGGAACCCGAACTGCGTCTCGCTAATATCCTCCTCTAGCCTTTCGTATATTCTCTTATGTATTATTTTTAGCAGAACTTTTAAAGTATGACTCATGAGGCTCAGTGTTCGATAATCAGAGCACTCTTTTGCTGCTTGTTTTTTAGGGATGGTTATAAATGCTGACTTTAGCCACTCCTGTGGTATTATTCCCGTATCGTACACCGTGTTGAATAAATCTGCCAATACTTCCAAGTTGTCTTCTTCCACTAGTTTTAAGAGTTCTGAGAACTCTGAGTTTAAGAGAGAATTTGAAAGATCTCAAATATGTAAACACGCATGGGATAATGAACATAGGGTTCAATGGAATAATTCAAATGTAGTCCTAAAAGAAACGGATGGTAAAAAAAGAAAAATCAAAGAAGCTGCTCTAATCAAGTTAAATTAGGCCAATTGTGTCGCAAATTCCTCGGCAGAATGTAGTAGGATCTGGTTACCAATATTGAAAGAGGAAGTTATTAATAAGAAAATACCAGTATTAGTAAGTCAGTAATCTATAGAGGATTCATCATTTATGTTTTTTAAATAACGAAACATATAAAATCAGAATTTTAGTGTTTATTGAAGGTAAACTAAATGCACGAACAAGTACTTACCATGTCGGGATAGTATTATGAGGTTTTTTTCCTGGTTTTTCCCTCATAATTTACTATGGAATCACTAACAGGAGAATTTTACTGTCATCATGTCATGTGTTTGTCTTTTTAAAGACGAATTACATGCTATGACTTTTTTCTGACGGATATTCTCAAGTTAAAGTTGATTTCATGTAATCGAATGAACTATAAGTAAAGTCGTCCCAGGAGCGCAACTCAACAATATTGGCAATATCATTTTAAAGTCATCTACTTTAACATGCATAATGTATGTGTGAATTGTCAATATAAATGAGTCAGATAAAATTAAATTATTAGAAGAATTTTTCACTATGTAACAAAAAACAAAATTTGTTTATTTACTGTTTGTATTTTGAGAACGATTTCCGAAGTGGAAATTGAAACGTCAATAAACGTATTTTTATCTTTAATTGTGGCTTATTCCCAGTTAAATAGTAATTAATATAAAATACTTATAGAACGAGCAAATGAATACCACATTCCTCTATATATGGCGTTCATAGATTTCGAAAAGGCTTTCGAAGGTGTCGAACATTAGGCAGTGAAAAGTTCTTTGGTTAACAGCAGAATTGACCACAGATATACGGAACTAATAGCCAATATATATATAAGAAAGCCAAAACAACAATTAAAGTATATTAAGGAACAAAATCAATACAAAAAGGTATAAAAATTGATGGATAACGCTTGAACCATCTAAGGTACGCTGATGACATCGTATTGATAACCGATAAAAAAGAAGAATTATTTGAAATGATAAAAGAACTGGACGTAGAAGCTGGAAAGATAGGCCTTAATATGAATTACAGCAAGACCAAAACTATAACAAATACAGATAAAGACAACACAATATCTCCAAAACATCTATACCTCTATAAAATGATACTGTTGCCGTTGTACTGTGTTGTTGTCGAATTGGTGATATAGCTGAAGATGTACAGGATGAGCTACTAGGTAAGTTGCACAACAAGCTGTTTTCGATTAAGCTTGATAAGGTAACATATAGCAATAAAGATGCCATTTTATTGTCTGTCCGATTTTGTGATGGCAAATCAGTGGTAAGAGAACTACTTTTCTGCAAACCAATAGAATTGAAAGCAACATCGCCCGCATAGTTTGCTATCTTAAATAATCATATAAACGAAGCAAAAATGGAATGGAGAAATTGCGTCGGAATATGTACCTATCAAGATGGTTATCACATGGGAAATTTTTACAACGTGTTTTTGAATTAAGACATGAAATCGCCATTTTTCTAGAACAAGAAAATATACCGGAAGCCAAGATGTTTTGCAATTGTTTATTTTTGATAAAATTGAGCTACTTGCTTGACATATGAGAGAAACTAAATATTTTGAGCATTCAGTTTCAAGGAGCCAATACACATATTGGGTACGAGTGATAAAGTTAATGCTTTTTGTAGAAAATTGGAATTGTGGAACAGAAATTGAAAGCAAAAAAAAAACTAGAAATGTTTTGCAAATGTGGGTGAATATACTAAAACCTACAAGGCTGAAGTACAACACGTGAAAGTTGTTTTTGTAACCATTGAAAATCATTTAGCGATGTTGACAAAAAATTTTAAAACATATTTTTTTGCCGACGACCAACTAATACGTAGTTACCAGTGGGTTAGGAATCCACTTATAATTACACCCGAAGGGCTCTCTACTGTCAAAAAAGAAACCTTCATAGACTTCACGGCGAAGCCAAAATCAAGAGACAGTTTAATAATAAATCCTTCTTTGAATTATGGTCAGGGGTGAATGATGAGTTTTCCGGAAAACCAGAGCGTTCCGTATACTATTACCGTTTTCAACATCTTACCTTTGCGAAACAGGATTTTCCGCGATGGCTGCTTTGTAGACCGAATATAGATCGCATCTTAATATAGAAAAAGAACTGAGAGCGTCCATTTCTAATATTACACCCTGTTTCGATAAACTTTGGTCTTCAAAACAGGCCCAAGGAAGCCACTAATATATACATTAAACTTGTTGATAATTTAATATTCAGTGATATTTATAATTTTATAATTGTACCTTTTTATCAGTTTTCATGTGTATTTTATTTCAATGTTGTTGGTTTTTGTGTACATTCTCACGCCCCTCTTCCACTAGTAAAAGCGCGCCCCCTAGGGCTTATTGGATGACGAATGCTTTATAGGCGACTCGATTACATCGGATCACCTGCTGGTTAAAAAACAGATATTTAATCCTTTGCCTCCCAATCCCCTCCAAAGAATAAGATACTACAAACGCGCCAACTGGGATATCTTCAGAACCTTTTTATCAGTCAACACTCCTTAGTTAGGCAACCTAACACAGCCAAATGATATCGATCACGATGAGATATCAGTCCCCAATAGGGATATCAACCCCAAAAAACCACCTCTACCTCAATACATTGTTGATAAAATTAAGCAAAAGAGACGACTCCTCCGTCAGTTTCAACGTACTTGCAACTCCTTAGTCAAAACAGAATACAACCACCTGTCTGCGGTGATCGAACTACATGTTAATAATCTGCAAACCAGACAGTGGATTGCAGCTACCTCTAGTCTTAATTATCGCGACGGTAGCGCGTTTTGGTCTAAACTCACTGACCTACTGCTAGGTGTCAGTAGTTTATACCATGGTATTCTTGATACCCTTTGGATACTGCTGATTCGAATTCCCAGAAGGAATCTCTTATTAGTAGAAAACTCCGACTTATAGGGGACTAAAAAACTCGCACAGGTAAAGTAATAATTATAATTTATGCTAACCACTCTCCACAAAGTATAATATAGTAGATTATAATTATTGTTTTTTATTTTCAGAAAGTTGATTTAAGTCTAGAAAACGTAAAAAAGATATTTTTAAACCTATCAACAGGTATGGAGTACGTACATTCTCAAAAAGTTTTACATAGAAATTTAGAACTGACGCATTTTCTTTACAACGATAACAATGAATATAAAATAGGAGGGTTTAGTGAAGCTGTTTATGTGGGCGATTCCAATGGAGAATACCAGTCGTCGTCGCCGGTAGGTATATTTTTAATACGCTTATTTTAGTACTATTTATTACTCATTTGTACTAGTTTAGACATATTTTTACTTATTTTGTTGCACTGTTCTAAAACCTATTAACAATACTTAATCTCTTACAATTAAGTTGACATACATTTAATAACGTCATATAATATTTTAGTTTTTGCCTAAATATTCGAACTCGTATTTATGCACGATGGTAGTGATGAGAAGGTCTTGAATGAACCGTTCACACAAATCTGATCTTTTCGAGGATCCGTGAATGACCAATCACGTTCTGTGACCCTACCGTTCGAATGACCCTATGAATCATGCCTATGAATGACGCTGTCTAGTGTTTACGAAAGAACTGTGTGATCGCGACATGTTGCTATTGTTGCTCGGTCAAATTAATGCATGAACCGCGAACAGCAAAGGATCGTTCAAACGCTGATTTGAGGTTCCCAGAACGGCGAAACCCTTACGCTGCAAAACTGTAAAATTATAATAATATACATTCGAATTGTCGATTCAATAGTTCCGTAGTCTGTTCTCTTTATAAATTTGTACGAAATTTAATCCATAATAATTGTTGCATTTCATTCATTCATGAACATAACAATATTGAATTTATAATTTTACTTTTTTTTTATATTTTTTAATGATTTCTGAAGGTGATTTGAGAAACACAAATCTTAACGTCAGCCTTAAACTATATTTCATCCTTAAATTTATAGTAATAATATCGAATTCTACAAGTAAACAACAATATAATTAAAGTCGTTCTAATGAAGGAATCTCCATGAACGGGTCCTGCATTATCATTCATTTATACACTTTCAGAATGATTCATAAACATATCAATATTAAACTCTCCACACTTGACCTTTACACAACAAATTTAATTAGTCGTTCATATGATCGGATCTTTATGAACGGGTCATTTTAATGAATGACCTGGAAGACCTGGATCACCGAAACGACAAGATGGTACTCCTTGCCACAAGACTAAGAGTATTTCAACTTATTTAAAACAAAAAAAAATCAAAGTTCTTGACTGGCCAAGCCACTCGCCTGATATGAACGCTATTGAGAATGGGTGGGAACTACTGAAACGGGAGATTGCGAAAAAAAAAACATTACTAAAAAAAGGGAGTTACTTAAAATGCTCATATATGAGTGGAATCATAATCCTCACCTCCAGGAACTATTCAAGCTGTATCGAGAGCATGCCTCGACGTGTTTAAGCTCTTTTAGCAGCCAAAGGCGGACATACAAAATATTACATTTATACCTACTTTGTAAAAATTATACTTTTTTAATAAATAAAAGTTTTTTGTTAACTTTTTTAGTAAAGTTTAATTACCTAAGAGTTAATATTCACAAAAAAGAACAAAACAGTAATTTTTTTCAAAGATATTCATAATCATGACAGAAATAACTTCATATAGTAAATTTTTCCTTGCTTGACCTATAATTTTTCCAGGTACTGTATATATATATTTAATCTGTTATTTTTATTATATTTGGAAGGTGCCGGTTTCGATTTTTAATGCTCCGGAATGGGGTACAGGGCGTAAAATGGAAACATTCACATACAAAACTGATGTTTGGGCTATGGGATGTTGCTTTGAAACTATATTGTACAAAGGGAGGAAGACATGTGGAGACGACATCACGTAAGAACAACATTTATTAAACAAATTTAAATACCCGATAATATTTTATATATTTTAGGGATCGACTACAGCAATTTGTAACTGACTTTATGCTTCATGCCCATCCAGAATCCAGAAAGCATTTTACTAAAATAAAAACATTTATTCAAAATATGGAAGTTTAATCCATTTTTTTATTATATCGCACATACTAATGCTACTTACTACAATAAAACTTTTACAGTATTATTTTTTTTTTAATTTTACCTGAAACAACACAATTACTTAGCTAATTTTTTTTATTTTACTGTTATTACTTATCATATTTTGCCTAGTATAAATAAAATAAAATATGTAATGGTAAATGTTTATTTAACCGGCCTCTTAAAACTTGTATGTTAAAGAAATTGTAAAATAAGGTTTGTGTCAAACGGAGCTCATAATGCATTGTATAAAAAATTGAAACATATGTTTTATTTATATATTAGACCTATAATTTTCTTTCAGTTAGTTCAAACATTGTGAAAAAAAAATAGGAATTATTTCAAAAATGAAAGACGTGTCCCCTTTACCGACCGTATTTTACGAGTGCCGATCACCGACCATTAACTTGAAAGAAATCTTTTGAGTGTCAAAAAACTCTGTTTATGCCAAATAAATTGGGTAAGAGTTGATTGCAGAAGTACTAAAATTATTCAAAAATTTCAATTGCTGCATACTAATGTACAAGAGAGAAAACACACTTTTAAACATATAAAAATAAAATATACATTTAAAAAACTATTGTTTTGTTTTACGCATTATTTCAATCTCAGGAACTGAATAAACTCCACGATTATTAATCATAAGAGGTGGATTAATTATTGTAGCAACTATGTTGTCGTCTGTATAAGATGTAATGTCATCCTTCTTGGGCCACTTCCAGTGGTTATGTATGATACCAATGATGTATTAGATTTACGGATATGTGCTGTTGGGGCTATTTCTTTGAGAATACTTAAAGGCAATGTGCTTACCTCAGCTCCAGTATCTAATTTAAATGACACAGGCTTATTGTTGACATAAATATCAGCTGACCACATATCTTGTCCAGCCTCTTGTTTACATTTAGAGTTTACTGACCTGATAAAATACTGATACTCATTACCTTCACTCTCACTTCCTGAACTGTGCACATCACTTACACTAGCTTCTGTTACTTGATGCACTTTCTTCTTCTGCTCTTTCATCACCTTTCTTGGAATTTCTGATTTCCTTCTCACATTGCTCCCACTAGGTTTATGGTCTTCTCTACAAACTGTTGCAAAATGGTTATGGCCTTGACACTTGACACATGTTTTACCCCAAGCAGGAATTGATTGTCTCTCAAATGATTATATCCAGATCTGGTACACACACGATCACATCTTGGTTCTCTTCGTTGAACTGCATTTATTAATTACTTATTCTGTAACACTTTAGACTGGTCTTTACTTATTTATATCGCTCGACATATGTCAACTGCTTTCATTAACGTTAACTCTGATTCTCTGAGCAGTTTTTTTTTGTATTGCTTGGTTGTGTATGCTCATTATTATTCGATCTCCGATCATTTGGGCTTGTTGGCTATACTTTGTTGTTTTAATGGTTTTCCGTACTTCTGTAATAAACGAGTCAAATGGTTGCCCTACTTGCTGGCTAATACTATTAAGCTTACATCTTTCAAAAATGATATTTTTCTTTGGTGAACAATACTCTTCAAATTTCTTTTTACGCAAGTTACTGTTCTGTCTTCATTTTCGTCAAATGTGAAGGTGTTATACAGCTCTAATGTCTCATCACCCACCAGACTTAAGAAAACTGCCAGCTTTTTACTTTCTTGTTTGAAGGTTAGGTCCGTAGCTATCATAAAAAGATCAAACTTTAGGCTAAATGTGCGCCAGTTTTTAGATATATTTCCATCTAGTACTACAGATTCAAGTGGCTTAAACGTGGATTTAATGATGATACCCAAAAATGAGTAAGTACAGTTGAGTACCTATCCAAACAAGAAATGGTTTCACCACGCAAAGATTATCACACCTGACACCATGTCTAAGCCTGATGGTGTTATGTTATGTGAACCTACCTTAATATTTGTAAACCTACCTTAACATGGGTGACAGGTGAAGGACATTGACAGCAGACAACAGTGGAAGAAGATGGCTCGTTAGATATAATCATGTATTAAGTTTAGTTGGTCTTTAATAAAAGATATTAAAAAGAAACTGGTCGTCAATCTTATTAAAAGCCCACAGAGACAACGTAACATGGTGTCAGAAGTAAAAATTCAGGTCAGATTATAGTAACGAGTATTATAATAGTCATACAAAAGTCGAAACATGGTCTAACAGCACGTGGTGATCTGGTTGGTTTTAAAAGAAATTAATTAAAAACGGTTAAAAGGTAAAGTTCAACCATGTCGGAACAAGATTCTATAGAGCAGAATCAACCTGTCGTTGTAAAAATAAAAAGTAACGTAATAGGGAATGAAATCCAACCGTTGTCGATGCAAGGAAATTTGACACATAACTGGGGAGAATGGAGCATAAATTTCAAAATATTTTTGAGAGCCACAGGTTTAGAGGAAGAAAACGATGCGAGAAAAGTAGCTTTATTATTGCACTATATTGGTACAGATGCAAGAAATATATACAAGTCATTTGAGTTTAACATGGATACTGTAACATTTCGAGAAGTTGTAGGGAAATTTGAAAAATACTGTAACCCGAAGAAAAATTTAACAGTAGAAAGACATTGTTTTCTTACTAGAGTACAGAAAGATGGTGAAACCATTGAAGATTTCATGACTAGTCTAAAGAATTTGAGTTTAACATGTGAATTAGGAATTTTAAAAGAAAGTTTGGTGTGTGACATGTTCATTATTGGTTTAAATCCTAAATACCATTCAATTAAGCAAAAACTATTGCAAGAAGTAGATCTGAAGACAGAAAAGGTATTACAAATTGCTCAAAATATAATTACAACTCAAATGCAAGCACAACAGTTAAATAAAAATTCAGAAGCAGTGGTATACAAAGTAGAGAAGAATAAAGATGGTCCAGGTCCGAATTTTTCAAATCATTCAAGGTATAGAAATGAAGTCCCAGGTCCAAGTTGGAGAAATGATAGTCAAAGGTACAACATAGATGGTACAAACACAAACAGTCAAAGTCAGGTAACAAGTCAGAATTTTAAATCAAGATATAATGGATATGCAAATCAGAGTAAGAATAGTGAAAATAATCAAGCGGTAAGAAAAGTTTGTCAAAGATGTGGTGAAAATCATAGAAATAAATGTCCAGCATTAGTAGCTATTTGTCATTATTGTAAAAAACAAGGTCATTATGCAAAATGTTGTCAAACTAAAAGAATAAATAATATAAATTTAAGAGAAAGTACAGTACAATCATCTAATAATGAAAATGATTCATGTTTTGTTATTAAAACTATTAGTCAGAATAGTATTAATCAGAATTGGTCAATTGTAGTCAGAATCAATAAAATAAATGTAGTATGTTATTTAGATACAGGTGCACAAGCTAATGTGATGTCAATAAAAATTTTTAATGAGGTTAATGTACAAAAGTTAGAACTGGTACCTACATGTATAAATTTAAAGTCTTTTTCAAATGATGTCATACCTATAGTAGGAAAAGTAAATTTGTTATGTGAAATTGAGAATAGGTTAGAAAGTATTGAGTTCATTATTGTGAATTTGGAGTGTCAAACAATTTTGGGTCTAGATACTTGTCATAAATTAAAATTAATTAAAAGAGTTGGTCTAGTAAGTCATGAGTCTATAATAGAGAAAAATAAACAAGTTTTTGCTGGTCTAGGTTGTCTACCTAATGTATGTCACTTAGAAATTGATAAAAATATTAAACCTATAATAGAACCACCAAGAAGAATACCTTTTTCTTTACATGATAAATTAAAAGAAGAATTAAATAGAATGTTGTCTACGGGAGTAATAGAAAAAGTCAATGAAGCAAGTGAATGGGTAAATTCAATAGTCTTAGTCGAAAAAAGTAATAAAAGTTTGAGAGTTTGTCTGGATCCCCGTAATTTAAACAAAGCTATAAAAAGATGTCATTATCCTATACCAACATTTAATGAGATTAGGTCAAAATTAGCAAAAGCAAAATATTTTTCAACACTAGATGCACAGTCAGGGTTTTGGATGATACCATTAGATTTAGAGAGTTCTAAGCTATGCACATTTAATACACCCTTTGGAAGGTTTAGATTTACAAGATTACCTTACGGTATAAGCTGCGCTCCTGAGATTTTTCATAAAGTAATGAATGAAATAGTAGGAGACATAGAAGGAGTTTGTTTATATATAGATGATATTTTAATTTATAGTGAAACTTTGGAAGGTCACAATAAAATACTAGAACTAGTACTAGAAAGGGCAAAACAATTCAATTTAAAATTCAATATGGACAAATGCAAATTTCTATTATCAGATATAAAATATTTGGGTCATATTTTTAGTGCAGAAGGCATATGTCCAGATTCTAGTAAAGTAAGTGCAATTTGTCAAATGTCTATTCCTAACAGTGTAGCTGATATTAGAAGATTTTTGGGAATGATTAATTATTTAGGTGAGTACATAGATAATTTAGCAGAGCGTACAAAAAATTGAAGGTTGTTATTGAAAAAAAATATTAGTTTTCATTGGACAGAAGAGCATGAAAGAGAATTTGAGTCGCTTAAAGAAATGATTAGTCAAACGCCAGTACTAGCATATTTTGATAACAATGTACCTTTAACATTATCAGTTGATAGTTCACAATTTGCAGTTGGTGCAGTGATTTTACAAAACAAAAAACCTATAGCATATGCATCTAAATCTTTGTCACAGGCTCAGTCAAATTATGCACAAATAGAAAAAGAGTTATATGCAATACAGTTCGGATGTATTAGATTTAAACAATACATTTATGGTAGAAAAGTTCAAGTTGAAACAGATCATAAACCATTAGTCAGTCTTTTTAAAAAACCATTATCTGAGGTTCCAGCACGTTTGCAAAGGATGATGCTAAACTTACAGCTTTATGATTTAGAAGTTAGCTATACTCCAGGAAAATTTCTTTTCATCGCAGATACATTAAGTAGGGCACCAGTAGAAGGTCCAGATAATACTGATAGTGGAGATGAAGAGTTACGTATACATGGAAGTTTATTAGTTAACAATTTAGCTGTGTCTTCAAAGAAATTAAT